GATGAGGAGGGGGAGGATGAGGGAGGAGGAGGAGGAGGAGGAGGAGGAGGAGGAGGGAGGAAGAGGAGGAGGGAGGAGGAAAAGGGTGGAGGAGGAGAAGAGGAGGAGGAGGAGGAGGAGGAGGGGGAGGAGGAGGAGGACGTCCGTAGCAAGTTTGGCTCAGGGCTAAACGTTGTGAGGGGTTCTGACGCCCGAGAATCAGCAATTAGCTTTGGACCCATCCGTCGTATTCCTGAAGTGTTTGCGATTGGGCCCCGAACGATCCTGCTGCGAATCGGGCTTACGGCAGCAGTCTCTTCAACATCCGCTTGTTCTTCCATACCAATGAGTTCGGTTTCCAGCAATGGCGCGAACTCGACCTCGCCAGCTTCGACGGTCGAAGGTCAGCCTCCTCAGAAGCACGCTCGTACTGATGACCCTTACGCTGACATCCGTGTTCATGTGGATGCTATGAAGCGTGACATGCTCGAGCAGTTTGGCAGGATCCATTCCAATATGGCCGCCCTCGCCTCCACCATCACGTCGCACACCGCCTCCCTCCAGACGCAACTAGAGGCTCGGATTGCATGCGTGGACCAAAGAGTTACCAAGAATGAGAAATTCACTGCGGATGTGGCCGAGGAGATCAAACTGCTGCCTCGTGAACTACTGGTGGTACATGAGGAGCCCCCGAAGCAGGTCATCATCGACCCGCCTAGCTTCAACAAGGACCCGATCCCGTGCATCCTGGTCATCCGAGGTCAGGCGATGGTCACTCGTGAGAAGGTGGCCAACGCCATCGCTCGGGGGGTTGAGGTTTGCAACGTCGACGTTGGAGAGTATGAGACACAGGGAAATCAAGCAGGACGCCGTTTCTCTGTTGCCTTCTCCGGCGCCCGCGGGTTCGCCGCCCGCCGTGTGTCGCAGTGCATCTCCAACATAAAGAAGGTTAACGGCACCTACTGGAAGTTTGAAACGGCCGCCCCTGACAACACACCGACGAGCTTGTTCGTGTCCGCGGACAAGAGCCAGTGCCAGATCAAACGAGAACTTTACACGAAGGTGCTGCGCAAGTACCTGTCCGAGTGGTACGGCATCCGTTTCTACACGGACCGCCTCAAGGGTGATATTGCGCACCAGTGGAAGCCAGTATGCAGGATCAAGCCGAGAGCAGTGGCTGAGCCGCTGGTGGAACGGGATGGTCGCCGCTGTCGAGAATTCAATATCAACAGAGCTGAGATCGCAGATGGCGTGGCCAACCTTTTGCGTGGCCAGACCGCATCAGGTCAATGGGGTGTTTCGCAGTCTTTTTCGCCTCCTGCCTCCGTCCCCGTCGAAGGATATTGCTCTCTGTCTATCATCGTGGAATGCCCGTGCCCTTTGTCACCATGATCCCACCACCCGCTCCAACGCAGATGATTGCCTTGACTCCTTTCTTCTTGGACTATCCGTTGTTGCTGTTCAGGAGACGCATGGGAACACAGAAGATATAACATTTCCTACACTTGTCGGCCCGTCCCTACCGGGCCAATTTCCTCCTCTTTGAGGTGCGCAACGAAGGCGGAGTGGCCACGCTCGCCCCTCTTCTCTATCATTATTTTGGCTTCGGAGATGCCTCCCGCGTGTCTGGCCGCGCGCTCGTGCAGGGCCGTGCGCTCTAGACTTGCGTCGAGCTGGGAAACCTTGGCTCGCCGTCGACGATCTGATTGACGATGCGTCATTACAATATCCACAACTTCGGTCTTTCCGCTGCCAATCGAGGCGAGATCGCCCCCCACACTTGCGCTTCGATTAACGATTCGAGGATGTACCCGACGCGCCACTTCGTCGTCGTTGCGGGCGATTCCAATTTCTCGGCCGAGCCTCCTGGACTTGCTGCGCCGCCGACCTCGTGCGCTCCGACGGTTGCTGCCATGGAACGGCGCTGAGCCCGCGATGTGGGATTAAAGGCGGCTCTCGGACGGATGGTTCTACTTGAATTCCTGGGCCCGGCGCGCTAAAATTGAGTTTACGAGCGCCGCTCGAGTATAGAGCAGATATTTCTATATGGTCCAAGCTGGCGTGTCACGATGATGTCAGTCACTGCGCGCGTCCAAGAGGCGCCCGAGGCACTGGGGCAAAGAGGATTCTCGGACCACGCTTCGTTGATGGTGGTCCTCCGTCATCGTCCTCCTCCTGATCCCGACTCCCAACCAATGCCCGCGTGCCGAAGTCATGCCGTCCTAGCTGGCACCGGTATCGGGCCCCCCTCATCCCTGTCACATGATACCATGCGGTGCGCGTGCGTTCATCTAAGATGAGCCGAGTGCGTGAATCCCCATCAAGTGACACCGTGCGGGCCACGTGCGCGCGCAAGACGAACTCCCTCCGAGCCTTTTGGTTTTTCGCGGCGGCTTCAGCGCGCAGAAAAAAATTGGCCTAGGCGTTTTTCCAGCGCGAATTTTCCAACATTTCATCCCGCGCGCCATTGCGCATTCGCGGGGGGCCCGGTGCTGTTTCGTCCGGCCTTCCTGTCCGAGGAGGCCTTCGCGCGCGCGTGTCGAACATATTCCCAGCGCGCTTCGTGGGGTTCTGGTTTCCTTTCCTGCCGCGTCGCGCCCGCGTCTCCTTCGCCCCCCCTCCTCCTTTCCCTCCCCCCTTCGCCCGCGCGCAACGCGTGCGCGGCGCGTGCGTGAGATGCCGCGCAATGGCCGCGCGACAGTGAGAGGCGCGGCGCATTCCCGATGCCAGAGGGGGGGCGCAGGGAGTGGCCCCTCAGCGTGGCCTCTACGCGTGCCAGGGTCGGAAAGCGCGGCAGGCGTGCCACTTTGTCGCCGCCGGGGGGGGGTGCGCAGGGGGTGGTCCCTCAGCGAGGCTTCTATGCGTGCCAGGGTCGTAAACCATGGCAGGCGTTGTATTTTCTCGATGCCAGAGGGGGGGGGGGCGCGGGGGGGGCCCCTCGGCGCTGGCTCCATGCGCGCCAGGGCCGGAAAGCGCGGCGGGCGTTGCATGTGCCCTGCGCCGGAGGGGGTGCGCAGAGAGTGGCCCCTCAGCGCGGTATCTATGCGTGCCAGGGTCGGAAGGTGTGAAACACGGCATTTTCTCCACGCCAAAGGGGGTGCGCGGGGGGTGGTCCCTCAGCGCGTCCCCCGCGCGTGCCAGGGTCGGACAGCGTGGCAGGCGTTGCACTTTCTCGACTCCAGAGGGGGTGCGCAGGGGGTGGTCTCTCAGCGCGGCCCCTGTGCGCGCCGGGGTTGACAAGCGCGGCGAGCGGGGCGCTTCCTCGACGCCAGAGGGATGAGCAGGGGGTGGTGGTCCGCCATGGTGCGTGACAGGGCCGAGCAGCGCGGCGTGCATGGCGGCCAGAATTGTTGACACCTTGGCCCAAGCCGGCTCGAATGCTGCAGGTGCTGTCTTGCCGCCCGCGCCGCTCGTGCCGCCCGAGTGCCCCATTGGCGCTCTGCTGCCTCCGTGCGTGAATCTCTAGAGTTTCATGGTTGACGTAGGTGTCGAGGTCAGCAATGTGAACTTGCGCAGTTGCGGGGCGGCAAACGCATAATGATAAGTTAAGTGTTCGTGCTTCCTCGGTGGCGTCATTCCAATGCCCTCGCGCGCTTGCCAGAGGCATGGTCCCTGTCAGATAATGCCATGCGGGGCGCCGTCATCGTCATCGTTGCCTTCGGATGCGTCGTGGTCAGTCTCATCGTCGTCTGTCGGCGCCGTCGTCCGCGCTGCCCCCCGCAAGATGAACTTCGCCCGCGCGACGGGCGTCCGCGCGCCAATGGGCGCGGTGAAATTATCGGAGGAGCTCCACGCTTTAACTGTACTCGCGACCTTATGAGTTCTGCCGGCCGCCGTGTCGTTGTTCGTCGACGCTGTCGTCTGCGTGATCTCCCGCAAGATGGTCTTTGCCCGCGCCGCGAGGGTCCGCGTGCCAGTGGGCCCCATGAAATGTGCGGACGAGGTTCATGCTCTATTTGCAGCCGCGACCTTATGAGTTTTGCCGACCAAGATGCGGGTGGGAGGGTGGGATGTTTGCACGAGCGTGGGGGGCGGTCGCGCGCGGTGCAGCGTGATCAATTGCACCGCGTGCATTGCGCCACATTTGGTCGCCGTTAT